GAGGCGGCCCCGCCCGCTGGCTCCTCGGGTGCCCGGATGGAACAATGGCGCCGGTGCAGTGAGGGGCCGAGAGCACAGGGAGGGACCGAGATGCATTCTGGGGCTGCGGGAGGGGCATGTTGCCTCGGCAACGGCGGCCAAGCCGGGGTGGGAGGAGACGAGCGGCGCGTGCACGTTGTCCCGCGCAGCTTCGCTTTGAGGTCGCTTGTCCCGCGCCGCGTCCCGTAGCCGCTGGAGTGACGGGGGGAGGTTCCCGCCAATTTGAACCCGAGCGGGGATTGAGGTGAGGGCGGTGCCCGAAGCCAAATACACTCCCGTCTCCTGAAACCCCGTCTTCTCTTCCCGGCTGTCTCCGCACGCACTTGCCGATCCAGGGACGTGACTCCGCTGTGGGGAGACCTGGTGCTGGCCCGCGCTGCAGGGGTGGGGCTGGGGTCAACCCGCACATCCCTCAGGTTGATGAGGGATGAGAGGCCTGGAAAGCGAGACTTACGAGGGAAGACAGAGAGAATTCGCACGGTGTAGTCTGGAGACGGGAGAACTGGGGGAGGGGGATTGATACCCACCTTTGAAGGGCAGGAACAGAGGGGATGGGGACAGGACTAGGGACAGCGTCAAGCTTCAGCAGAGGAAATGGAGGTTGGAGATGAGGAGGAACGGTTTGACAGTCCAGGGACGCTCCATCCTTGGACGTTTTCAAGGGCAGGTTAGACAGCCCCCTGGCTGGGACAGTTTAGTCGGGCAATCGTGCCCCAAGGACCTGGCGAAGTCCCCTCCAGCCCTGCTCTCGTGTGGTCCCAGACTTGGCACATTGCTTTACTGCCGTTTTGCTCCGTTTTCTGCCCTAGATAAAGAATTCAACATGTGGAACGAGATTGATCTTCTCATAAACGACGACACGGGAAGCGGACGACTGAGCGTAGGTTCGGGACGAGAATGTGGAACTGCTTTGTACCAAGTGGATACCCTCGTTAAAATAACGTCTTCCGACAAGGTATCAGAGCTATAGTCTTATTACGCTGAAGCTTTTTTCAGGCTTTTTGTAAAACAGATACGTTCTGTTTGCTTTCTTTTGGCTAGTAGGGTATTACCAGTTGTGTGTTTAGATAGCGTTTGAAAAGCATCATCTTTTTTTTTTAAGGTTCTTTAGTTACTTATGCTTCACAACTCTTTGTTTCTAAGGTCTTGGTTAATCCAACATTGCATGCGGTCAACTCAACTGATGGCTGTATTATCGTGGCTGACAGATCAGTGGCACTTCTTGACAGCATTTGCCAGTCTCTTCAAATGCACGTTCAGTTTGGTAAGTTTATTGCTTGGGACTTAAACTGTAAATCAAAATAGACTTTGGATTCAGTTACAATGTGCGAAGACAATAAGGCCGTATGTTTAATTGTTGGAAATAAAGCAAGCATGATGCCTACCAATGTATCATGATGGGAGAAAGCATTTGGACATAATAACTTTGTAAACAATACTAAATTTATTCTGATTCTTTGCTTCTCAAATGGCAATGGTAGCTGTTTAACTTGTTAAAAAAAGGAAGTAGTGCTTGCACCCTTCACAGAATGGAGGTTGTTAATAATGAACATTTTTAGCACGCGCATGGCAAATATCTAACTGCTGTTCACATAAGGAGGGTAGACCTAGATTACCCAACAGTATTGCTTTTAGATAACAAAATTTATATTAACACCAAAGTTAAACAAAAACATGGCAATATTGAAACTGTACTTTGTCAGTTTTATGTGGACAGCCCTTCATGCAAATAGCATTGAGGAGGAGTTTTAGAATGCAGCCTATGGTATCCTCAAGATTGGTTTCTTCGTCCCACTAGCAAATTGCTATATTTGTGTGTTTAAGTTATGCTAAGGGCTCTTAAAATATATAGAAGTGCGTTCCTTCCTAGCATTTCAATTCAATAAATACTTTTGAAAGGATGTGGGATACTTCATTAGCAACTTATTTATATTTGCACTCCACTGCTTGTAATAACATAATATTTGCTTTGAAATTTTCAGACACTAATGTGGATGTCGTTGGTTTGTGCCAACAAGGACAGTTTCTTGTAGTGGGTGAGAGGAGTGGCAACCTGCATCTTATTCACGTCCCATCACAGCAAACCTTGCTAACAAAAGTAAGAGACATTTTGTTCCATTTCATATTTATTGAAATCCATCCTTTTTTTAATTGTTGCTTGTTTTTCATTTTTATAAAATTTATAAATACTGGCGGACTGTGTTTCTCAAAAGTGGTTTGTTTGTTTTCTTTTTCTTTGATTAAGATGGCAGATTATGCAGGAACAAAAACTGTCCCTAAAGTTCCTGTAAGTTGAAAACAATCTATTCTAAACTATATTAAAAAAAAAAAAAGCTGTGCAAGGGAAAACATTTCTGTAAGGAGATGCCAGACTGAGCTCTAATATTTGTGTAAATAATCCTACGTTTAAAAAACAAACAAACAAAAATGATGCAGAATTTCTGGAAAAAAAAACCCTAAGTTTTCAGTCTTAAGTTATGTGCTCTTTTTAGTAACCATGAAATAATATCTGTTTTATATTAACTTTCTTTTTAGGTTTTGGTTCAGGAATCTTCAAATGAAAAGACATATTTAAATCTGATTATAGAAGAAGACAAGGCAGAGCCAGGTAAGCATTCTCACAATTTAAGAAGCATTATATTGTCTTGTTTTTTAGAACAACCTGATTCTACACCACTTCACCACCAAAAGGCTTCCACAAGAAGTAACCAGATTTTATTTATAATAAAAGGAGGCTTTTGATGGCCTCCCTCAATCAAGCACCCCTTCATGGGTGACATAGCCCAAGTGTCCACACCCCTAGTGCTGACCCCTCAGACTGATTGGGGCTTTGCACAGGAGTTCTGAAAATACAGTTGCTTGTCACTGAACAGATTGAGCACAAGGAGGGCAGATAGTTTAGAAAAAAAAACAATCTTCTGAATGCAGTACCTCTCCTTCTAATCTAGCCATCCTGTGGAAGTCCAGTGAGTTTGTCTACTATCACAAAGAAAATGTTCTCACTGCCTCATTGGGCTGCTAATAAGTCTCTAGGATGTAACAGCTCTTGCCCTTTAAAACCTTCCAGTCCATTCTGTCCATGCAACTCTCTAATATGCCTTGTCAGTTCAGTAAAACAACCTACTTGGGAATTTGTTGCTTAGTTACCATCCATCCAAGGTTCAGATATGAAAAGCTGGTTTGCTCTGAGTGGCAGCTGTGTCTTTTAGTCCAAGATGGAAACAAAGTAGAGAGGTAAAGAGTAATCTTACAATAAAAATGGAATCTGCAGTCTGACACAGATGTGTGTAAGATTCTTAAGCTTTATATATGTCCCTATATTATCACTGCACATTTGTTTTGTTTTTAAGTGATAGAGCTACTATAAAATTATTTTGGACTAAATTATTTCCTAATGTCCCATTTTACAAATGGGATATTTGTTTTCCACTCTTAGCAATTGAAATTGGTGTGTTTGTGTCCTTTTCTAGGTGTCTACCATATGTTCATTCTCACAAGTAATGGATGCTTTTGCATTATGTGCCTCCCTCTTGCAAAAACTCAGGAAGGTAAGAGGATACATAAGTCAGGAAATTCATTTTAAACATAGGTGATATTAATCGGTCATAACTAAAAAGACCCTTGTCTACTGCTTTCTGTACTCATTAAGGGGCCAGTCCTGTGATAGGCAGAGCAGTTTCAACCCACAAACTACTTACATGTATGTTCCCATCAATACTTCTGTTTCTTCTGGAGAGAATTGCATGTTATAGGAACAATGCCAAATCATAGTATCATTATCATACTGAAGAATATAAGAGATTGCTTAAATGGAACATCCAACAGCACAGGATGAGCCCGAGCTTAATTTCAACTCAATTTTCTCAAATTTCATGCTATAACCAGTAGAAATATATATGAACTCTCATTTAAAATGGTTAAAATGTTTTCAGAATTGTCAGCTTGGCAGTGCAGCTATCCAATATGATTCTCTTTTTTTTTTTTAATTATTAAGATGTATTATTTTGATTTTTACACTGTATTTTTTCCCCTAATTTTTGTAGCTATTGACAAGATGGACATGATTACAGCAAAGAAGGTAAGTAGCAGTGTCCACCCATCTACTTAGTCTTACAGATTTATTATTTCTAGTAAGCCTTGGATCTATATAGTTTAGGGGTGTGGAAAATCCAGCCTTTGGGTTGGATCCCACCCACCAGGCCATTCTATCCGGCCTGTGGGGCCCCTAAAAAATTTAGAAAATTGTTATCTGCCCATGGCTGGCTGTGTAAGCTGATGAGGCACCAGGGGTGGCAGGACCCAGCAGTAGCAGCAGTAAGACTTGTTTGGCCTCACCTCCGGGCTAGAAGCCTCTGCTTAGCAGAGGCTTCTAGGCTGGCGACCCTGGGGCTGTTCTCTCACCCTCCCTCTGTCCAAGAGTGCAAACTCAGATAAGAACTGGGGCAGCTGGGAACCACATTCTGTCAAACCAGCAGGCGAGGGGGTGGGGAGAAGTGGTACGTGCAGTCCTGGGGCTTGTTGGGACTGTGCACCGCTGAGGGTTTTCCTGCTATGGGCCATGAGCACCCCAAGGCCTTGCTGCCTGCTGCTGCCGCTGGTGACAGGGGCTGTGTGCAATGAGGAAGGGGGATGTGTGTGTTGGGGGGGGTCCCACCCCCCCCCCCCAACCTACGTACCAACACCCCCCCCCTGCCCCACCATCCCAACCCCACACCCA